AGGCCAGGCTGACAGTGGGCTCCAGGAGGCCAGGCTGACAGTGGGCACCATCAGGCCAGGCTGACAGTGGGCTCCAGGAGGCCAGGCTGACAGTGGGCACCAGGAGGCCAGGCTGACAGTGGGCACCAGGAGGCCAGGCTGATAGTGGGCACCATGAGGCCAGGCTGACAGTGGGCACCAGGAGGCCAGGCTGACAGTGGGCACTAGGAGGCCAGGCTGACAGTGGACACCAGGAGGCCAGGCTGACAGTGGGCACCATGAGGCCAGGCTGACAGTGGGCACCATGAGGCCAGGCTGACAGTGGGCACTAGGAGGCCAGGCTGACAGTGGGCACCATGAGGCCAGGCTGACAGTGGGCACTAGGAGGCCAGGCTGACAGTGGGCACTAGGAGGCCAGGCTGACAGTGGGCACTAGGAGGCCAGGCTGACAGTGGGCACCATGAGGCCAGGCTGACAGTGGGCACCAGGAGGCCAGGCTGACAGTGGGGCTGACAGTGGGCAGGAGGCCAGTGGGCACCATGAGGCCAGGCTGACAGTGGGCACTAGGAGGCCAGGCTGACAGTGGGCACCATGAGGCCAGGCTGACAGTGGGCACCATGAGGCCAGGCTGACAGTGGGCACTAGGAGGCCAGGCTGACAGTGGGCACCAGGAGGCCAGGCTGACAGTGGGCACCATGAGGCCAGGCTGACAGTGGGCACTAGGAGGCCAGGCTGACAGTGGGCACTAGGAGGCCAGGCTGACAGTGGGCACCATGAGGCCAGGCTGACAGTGGGCACCATGAGGCCAGGCTGACAGTGGGCACTAGGAGGCCAGGCTGACAGTGGGCACCATGAGGCCAGGCTGACAGTGGGCACCAGGAGGCCAGGCTGACAGTGGGCACTAGGAGGCCAGGCTGACAGTGGGCACCATGAGGCCAGGCTGACAGTGGGCACCATGAGGCCAGGCTGACAGTGGGCACCAGGAGGCCAGGCTGACAGTGGGCACCAGGAGGCCAGGCTGACAGTGGGCACCATGAGGCCAGGCTGACAGTGGGCACCAGGAGGCCAGGCTGACAGTGGGCACCAGGAGGCCAGGCTGACAGTGGGCACCATGAGGCCAGGCTGACAGTGGGCACCATGAGGCCAGGCTGACAGTGGGCACCAGGAGGCCAGGCTGACAGTGGGCACCATGAGGCCAGGCTGACAGTGGGCACCAGGAGGCCAGGCTGACAGTGGGCACTAGGAGGCCAGGCTGACAGTGGGCACTAGGAGGCCAGGCTGACAGTGGGCACCATGAGGCCAGGCTGACAGTGGGCACTAGGAGGCCAGGCTGACAGTGGGCACTAGGAGGCCAGGCTGACAGTGGGCACCAGGAGGCCAGGCTGACAGTGGGCACCAGGAGGCCAGGCTGACAGTGGGCACTAGGAGGCCAGGCTGACAGTGGGCACTAGGAGGCCAGGCTGACAGTGGGCACTAGGAGGCCAGGCTGACAGTGGGCACCAGGAGGCCAGACTGACAGTGGGCACCAGGAGGCCAGGCTGACAGTGGGCACCAGGAGGCCAGACTGACAATTATTCTCACTACAGTGTCAGTTTGCATATTTTTTCTATGAATATAATAGTAAAAGTATTCATTTATCAATATTATAATGACCTGGATAATGTATGTCTTTGTTTTTATATTATTTTATGTCAAGTGCCACTGTATCTACGCGCAAAAATGAGAAATATGAATATATTTAATTATACATTGGTTTACTGTACTAACATATTTTAATATACTGCACAGATCCTTGAAGTACAGTACTGGGGTTGACCAGACCACACACTAGAAGGTGAAGGGAGGACGACGTTTCGGTCCGTCCTGGACCATTCTCAAGTCGATTGTGATCAATCGACAATCGACTTGAGAATGGTCCAGGACGGACCGAAACGTGGTCGTCCCTTCACCTTCTAGTGTGTGGTCTGGTCAACTTACTTTAGCCACGTTATTGTGTCTCAACGCCTACAGTACTGGGGTTTAATCATCGGTCGACTGGTTTATTTTTCTACCCAGAATATTTTGACAAAAATTTCATTACAGTTTTTGAAAACTGTGCCTTGGAATATTTTTTTTTTCGCTCTGCTAAACTGCGGTAATAGGTATCTGCTTCTGTGGCACAGTGGTTTGTGCCGTCGACTCGCAACCGAGGGTCTTGAGTTCGAGTCATGCGGTAGGACAGAGACAATTAGGCATGTTACCTTTCACCGCTCCTGTGCCAGGTAAGTCCACTACGGGCTCACCATAGCCCGTTCTTCTTGCCCCGCTCCTGTGCCAGGTAATTTACGGGCTCACCATAGCCCGGGAGGGTAGGGAGGGAGTAAAGCATTGGCAAAAAATTATAGACCAGTTGCACTAACATCGCACATCATAAAAGTATTTGAGAGAGTGATTAGGAGTCAGGTCACCAATTTCATGGAGACCAATGACCTTCACAACCCAGGCCAACATGGATTTCGAGCGGGAAGATCGTGCCTCTCACAGCTACTTGAGCACTACGACAAAGTCACTGAGGCATTAGAAGAGAAACAGAATGCTGATCTGATATACACGGACTTCGCAAAGGCTTTCGATAAATGTGACCATGGCGTGATAGCACACAAAATGAAGTCAATGGGAATAACCGGTAAAGTAGGACGCTGGATACTCAGTTTTCTGTCAAACAGGACTCAGCGAGTAACGGTCAACCATATAAAATCTAGTCCAAGTGCAGTGAAAAGCTCTGTACCTCAGGGTACAGTCCTTGCACCGCTGCTTTTCCTTATTCTCATATCAGATATAGACAAAAATACAAGTCACAGCTTCGTATCATCCTTTGCAGATGACACAAAAATCAGTATGAAACTTACTTCGGCTGAGGACATTGAAAAACTTCAAGCTGATATTAATAAAGTTTTCGACTGGGCATCAAAAAATAACATGATGTTTAACAGTGATAAATTCCAGGTACTCAGGTACGGTGAAAATGAGGACCTTAAACATAATACAGAGTACAAAACACAATCAAATGTACCCATAGTAGGAAAACAGCATGTAAAGGATTTGGGAATAATAATGTCTGACGACCTAACGTTTAAGGAGCATAACCAAGCAAATATTGTGACAGCCAGATAAATGATAGGATGGATTACGAGAACTTTCAAATCCAGGGATCCCATCACAATGGTTGTACTCTTCAAGTCACTTGTGTTTTCCCATCTTGAATACTGCTCAGTACTCACTTCCCCCTTCAGAGCAGGAGAGATTGCTGAAATAGAGGGAATACAGAGAACATATACGGCACGCATAGACGCAATAAAGCACCTAAATTATTGGGATCGTCTCAAAGCCCTCCAAATGTACTCACTAGAAAGAAGACGAGAGAGATATCAAATAATATACACCTGGAAGATACTGGAGGGCCAAGTACCAAATCTACACAGTAAAATAACAACGTACTGGAGCAGAGGTGCCATAGGCACAATCAGAGAACAATGTATAAGCATCAGAGGTCCGCGGTTGTTCAACGTCCTCCCAGCAAGCATAAGAAATATTGCCGGAACAACCGTGGACATTTTCAAGAGAAAACTAGATTTATTCCTCCAAGGAGTGCCGGACCAACCCGGCTGTGGTGGGTATGTGGGCCTGCGGGCCGCTCCAAGCAACAGCCTGGTGGACCAAACTCTCACAAGTCAAGCCTGGCCTCGGGCCGGGCTTGGGGAGTAGAAGAACTCCCAGAACCCCATCAACCAGGTAACCAGGTAGCCCCTGCTACTTGGAACTTGTTCCGAGTAGCTGAATCTATAACAAGAACAACCCGTGCTCTGACCCCATCATTACTAACAAGTACCCACCTACACACACACTAAGAGTTCAGTTCCTGAACCCATCCTGTGCCTTAGTAACCCTTCCACCACTACCCCACACGATGGGTAGCGACTGCATCACAGAGTGAGAAATATGAAGGAACCAAAACTGATACCACGAGGTTGATGTACGCCACTCCAAACTCTCTCGCTCTTATGACAGTTGTCCTGGTTGATACCTGGTTGATGGGGTTCTGAGAGTTCTTCTACTCCCCAAGCCCGGCCCGAGGCCAGGCTTGACTTGTGACAGTTTGACAGTAGGCTCCAGGAGGCCAGACTGACAGTGGGCTCCAGGAGGCCAGACTGACAGTGGGCTCCAGGAGGCCAGGCTGACAGTGGGCTCCAGGAGGCCAGACTGACAGTGGGCTCCAGGAGGCCAGACTGACAGTGGGCTCCAGGAGGCCAGGCTGACAGTGGGCTCCAGGAGGCCAGACTGACAGTGGGCTCCAGGAGGCCAGACTGACAGTGGGCTCCAGGAGGCCAGGCTGACAGTGGGCTCCAGGAGGCCAGGCTGACAGTGGGCACCAGGAGGCCAGGCTGACAGTGGGCTCCAGGGGGCCAGGCTGACAGTGGGCTCCAGGAGGCCAGACTGACAGTGTCCCCCGCACGCACTGACCTTATATTTCCCATGATACTTGTAGATAAATACTGGACCCATACTGCCACAACTGACACTGGATTGAAGACTTGTGACCACAAGTACATTTGTGGATTAAGAGATTAAGAGTTGCGACTGTAGGTCAAGAGTAATTCAAGTGTTTTAATATGATGCGGAAGACCTCAGCTGCGTTTCAAAGACATCTGCAAAATCGACCTCAAGCATGTGAACATGGACACTTGGGAGGCAGCATCTGCGGACAGATCTGCCTGGAGACGCAAAGTGCAGAGAGGACTCCAGCAATTCGTGGGCGAACTGAAGAGGCAGGCGGAGGCCAAGACCTCAGAAGAAGTCTCGGCCACTGACGGACGCAACCCCTTCGGCGTTTATCTACACTTGCTGCGGTCGGGATTGTCTTTCTCGGGTTGGACTTCACAGCCACAGCAGACACACACGGCACAACTCCATAACCCCCCCCCCCCCCCGGGATTGAAGGATGCCTGCTACAACTACAATATGATGCATAGTTTTACACTCACCTTCAGCAGACTGAAAATGGCGAGTAGACTGGGCAGCCGAGAGTGGCCCCTGAGCGACGAGGTCACTGATAGAGGAAGCAGCAGTAGGAGCAGAAGCAACAGAGGCAGCAGCGCCAGCAGCAGCAGCAGCAGCACTATAGCGGATGACCTGCTTGGCTCCAGACATCCGCTCACGGGTCAGTACTTGCTGTGGTGACCCGCTTCTCTGGCCTAAAAAGGTCGTTCCAGTGGTTCATGGGTCGAGGACCCCCGTAGTAGCTCCTTAAACCCCTAATAGCTCTCCTTGGCAGTTCCTGAGGGAGAGCAAGCCACTCCCAGGGTTCCTGGAACTCTTGACTCTTTCTCTGTGGCTGTTTCTGTCTGGAAGGCTTCCTATGGCAGTTCTTGGAATCACGTGTCGTGGCTCCGTGGGTGTAGAGGTCGGGTGGGGCGGCTGGCGAGCTCACTTGCGGCAGTGTCGTCGTGCTCCTCGCGGCTCTCACTCCCTCACTCCTTGAAGAAATTTTTCGACCGAAACTAAACACTAGTAATTTTCTTATTTAATTTTGTTTTGTGCGCGAGAAAACTGTTGGTGTCTGGGCCACGTAGGCACAAAAGCTAATGGCTACATAAGCAAACAGTTTATACATAGGCGAGTCACTGGGTAACGGAGATGTGTTAATAAACAAGGTGAGGAAGGAACGTAAACGGTGCACGAAAGAGGCCGGGAGGGGAGGGGACAGAGGGGGGTGGAGCGTAGGAGTTAATGTACGGATAGAGTTCCCGGAAGGCGGCATGCCAGTGTCTCAGAGCCTGGCCATCCACACGTCTGCAACACCCGGCCCTCCCACTGACACTGTGCCAACACGCCGCACTGCTCGCGCTGCTCGCCTGGGGGCATGCCCGCCGACCAGTAGGCCCGGAGTGCCGCGGGGGATGGCTGCGGGCCGGCGGTGGCGGCGGCGGCGACGACTTGCGGCGACCCCTGCGACTGACACGACCACCACGCCGGCGACCACCAGAGCCACACTCGTGCACCAGCACCTCACGCCCCGCCCACCTCCACCTGTACGGGGGTAAACAACAATATTAGTGAGGTTGTCCACAAGTGGGGCAGACAAAGCTACATATTTGAACAACAGAATAAAGGAATCTCAAGGCATATTGACCCTTCCAGGCGACTCTTATTTACACCCAACGACGCCCACCCATGTCTGGAATTTACGGGATCACCATAGCCCGTGCTACATGGACACTTCGTTCTGAGTAGCTAAATCTAAAACAACAACAACAACAGCCCACCCATGTAATTATCCAACATATTGCATAAACTTCCACATGAGTTCCAACATACAATGCTACTTTGTAACTTATTTCACTAATACGTAACCCTATTTCTGAATGTGTTACCAATTTAAACACAAACCGAAACTGTCTCTATTTTCCGCTTGTTACAACTTGTAATAAAGTTGTTACAACTTGGCTTAACGTGTTTATGACGTATTAGAACGTTGTTACAACTTGCTATATTGGTTGTTATAACTGGTTAGGAGGTGTTAAAACTTGTTCGAACGTTGTACCAACGTCGTAGTTTCGGTGTGTGTTTGGAGGGTTACCAATTTCTTGTATAAATCTTCCGAACTTCTTCAATTTCAATCGATTGTTTCGTGTTCTAACTTGGGATTGATATTAAGATATTATTTATGTCCCCCTTGTTAAACTCTTTCACCCCATTCGTACACGTGAGTCTTATAAATACTCTTATAAATAAACACATGAAATAATATTACCTGTATAATTATAGGTAATTAATTCCCAATTCCCCTGGTTACGTGACGGCTTTCTAGGAGATGTAAATAGTACAGGTTCCCAATTACCTGTATAATTACAGGTAATTAGTTCCCAAATACCTGTATAATTACAGGTAATTAGTTCCCAAATACCTGTATAATTACAGGTAATTAGTTCCCAAATACCTGTATAATTACAGGTAATTAGTTCCCAAATACCTGTATAATTACAGGTAATTAGTTCCCAAATACCTGTATAATTACAGGTAATTAGTTCCCAAATACCTGTATAATTACAGGTAATTAGTTCACAATTACCTGTATAATTACAGGTAATTAGTTCCCAAATACCTGTATAATTACAGGTAATTAGTTCCCAAATACCAGTTACCTGTATAATTACAGGTAATTAGTTCCCAATTACCTGTATTACTTGATAACGCAGTCACCCTTCTCACAATATTCTTAGGGAATTTATCCCCATAATACTCTGCGGTCCTAACTCTTCTTCAGTAGTACGTCGTAATTTTGATGTACACAACCTGATGTACTCAAAATTAAAGCGGCTCGCAAAATTGAAGTGATGTCCCGTTTTCTATTCGTGGGTCCTCGGTTAGGTTAGGTTCGGGCAATTTAGTACATACGTTTAGTGCGGGCGGGGTGGTGTGTGTGGCGGGCGGGGTGGTGTGTGGGGCGGACGGGGAGGTGTGTGGGGCGGGCGGGGAGGTGTGTGTGGCGGGCGGGGTGGTGTGTGGGGCGGGCGGGGAGGTGTGTGGGGCGGGCGGGGAGGTGTGGGGCGGGCGGGGAGGTGTGTGGGGCGGGCGGGGAGGTGTGGGGCGGGCGGGGTGGTGTGTGGGGCGGGCGGGGAGGTGTGTGGGGCGGGCGGGGTGGTGTGTGGCGGGCGGGGAGGTGTGTGGGGCGGGCGGGGTGGTGTGTGGGGCGGGCGGGGAGGTGTGTGGGGCGGGCGGGGAGGTGTGTGGGGCGGGCGGGGTGGTGTGTGGGGCGGGCGGGGAGGTGTGTGGGGCGGGCGGGGAGGTGTGTGGGGCGGGCGGGGTGGTGTGTGGCGGGCGGGGTGGTGTGTGGCGGGCGGGGAGGTGTGTGGGGCGGGCGGGGAGGTGTGTGGGGCGGGCGGGGTGGTGTGTGGGGCGGGCGGGGTGGTGTGTGGGGCGGGCGGGGAGGTGTGTGGGGCGGGCGGGGTGGTGTGTGGGGCGGGCGGGGTGGTGTGTGGGGCGGGCGGGGAGGTGTGTGGGGCGGGCGGGGAGGTGTGTGGGGCGGGCGGGGAGGTGTGTGGGGCGGGCGGGGAGGTGTGTGGGGCGGGCGGGGTGGTGTGGGGCGGGCGGGGAGGTGCTGCAGCGCCTCAAGATCGATCCGACGCTCACAATTTCTCTTTCTGCTTCTCCCTCCTCCCCGTGTGTGTGTGTGTGTGTGTGTGTGTGTGTGTGTGTGTGTGTGTGTGTGTGTGTGTGTGTGTGTGTGTGTGTGTGTGTGTGTGTGTGTGTGTGTGTGTGTGTGTGTGTGTGTGTGTGTGTGTGTGTGTGTGTGTGTGTATTCACCTAGTTGTGCTTGCGGGGGTTGAGCTCTGCTCTTTCGGCCCGCCTCTCAACTGTCAATCAACTGTTTCTACTACTACTAGTGCTTTTTTTCCCACACCACACACAAACACACACACCCCAGGAAGCAGCCCGTGACAGCTGACTAACTCCCAGGTACTTATTTACTGCTAGGTAACAGGGGCATAGCGTGAAAGAAACTCTGCCCATCCTTTTCTCGCCGGCGCCCGGGATCGAACCCAGGACCACAGGATCACGTGTACAACATGCTGTCCGCTCGGCCGCCGGCTCCCTCATGTATGTATGGATGTGTGTGTGTGTGTGTGTGTGTGTGTGTGTGTGTGTGTGTGTGTGTGTGTGTGTGTGTGTGTGTGTGTGTGTGTGTACTCACCTAGTTGTACTCACCTAGTTGTGTTTGCGGGGGTTGAGCTCTGGCTCTTTGGTCCCGCCTCTCAACCGTCAATCAACAGGTGTACAGATTCCTGAGCCTATCGGGCTCTGTCATATCTACACTTGTGTGTGTGTGTGTGTGTGTGTGTGTGTGTGTGTGTGTGTGTGTGTGTGTGTGTGTGTGTGTGTGTGTGTGTGTGTGTGTGTGTGTGTATGTGTGTGGGTGTGTGTGTGTGTGTGTGTATGTGTGTGGGTGTGTGTGTGTGTGTGTGTGTGTGTGTGTGTGTGTGTGTGTGTGTGTGTGTGTGTGTGTGTGTGTGTGTGTGTGTATGTGTGTGGTGTGTGTGTGTGTGTGTGTGTGTGTGTGTGTGTGTGTGTGTGTGTGTGTGTGTGTGTGTGTGTGTGTGTGTGTGTGTGTGTGTGTGTGTGTATGTGTGTGGGTGTGTGTGTGTGTGTGTGTGTGTGTGTGTGTGTGTGTGTGTGTGTGTGTGTGTGTGTACTCACTAGTTGTGTTTGCGGGGGTTGAGCTCTGGCTCTTTGGTCCCGCCTCTCAACCGTCAATCAACAGGTGTACAGATTCATGAGCCTATCGGGCTCTATCATATCTACACTTGAAACTGTGTATGGAGTCAGCCTCCACCACATCACTTCCTAATGCATTCCATTTGTCAACCACTCTGACACTAAAAAAGTTCTTTCTAATATCTCTGTGGCTCATTTGGGCACTCAGTTTCCACCTGTGTCCCCTTGTGCGTGTTCCCCTTGTGTTAAATAGACTGTCTTTATCTACCCTATCAATCCCCTTCAGAATCTTGAATGTAGTGATCATGTCCCCCCTAACTCTTCTGTCTTCCAGCGAAGTGAGGTTTAATTCCCGTAGTCTCTCCTCGTAGCTCATACCTCTCAGCTCGGGTACTAGTCTGGTGGCAAACCTTTGAACCTTTTCCAGTTTAGTCTTATCCTTGACTAGATATGGACTCCATGCTGGGGCTGCATACTCCAGGATTGGCCTGACATATGTGGTATACAAAGTTCTGAATGATTCTTTACACAAGTTTCTGAATGCCGTTCGTATGTTGGCCAGCCTGGCATATGCCGCTGATGTTATCCGCTTGATATGTGCTGCAGGAGACAGGTCTGGCGTGATATCAACCCCCAAGTCTTTTTCCTTCTCTGACTCCTGAAGAATTTCCTCTCCCAGATGATACCTTGTATCTGGCCTCCTGCTCCCTACACCTATCTTCATTACATTACATTTGGTTGGGTTAAACTCTAACAACCATTTGTTCGACCATTCCTTCAGCTTGTCTAGGTCTTCTTGAAGCCTCAAACAGTCCTCTTCTGTTTTAATCCTTCTCATAATTTTAGCATCGTCCGCAAACATTGAGAGAAATGAATCGATACCCTCCGGGAGATCATTTACATATATCAGAAACAAGATAGGACCGAGTACAGAGCCCTGTGGGACTCCACTGGTGACTTCACGCCAATCGGAGGTCTCACCCCTCACCGTAACTCTCTGCTTCCTATTGCTTAGATACTCCCTTATCCACTGGAGCACCTTACCAGCTACACCTGCCTGTCTCTCCAGCTTATGTACCAGCCTCTTATGCGGTACTGTGTCAAAGGCTTTCCGACAATCCAAGAAAATGCAGTCCGCCCAGCCCTCTCTTTCTTGCTTAATCTGTGTCACCTGATCGTAGAATTCTATCAAGCCTGTAAGGCAAGATTTACCCTCCCTGAATCCATGTTGGCGATTTGTCACGAAGTCCCTTCTCTCCAGATGTGTTACCAGGTTTTTTCTCACGATCTTCTCCATCACCTTGCATGGTATACAAGTCAAGGACACTGGCCTGTACTGGCCTGACATATGTGGTATACAAAGTTCACATATACATATGTGTGTGTGTGTGTGTGTGTGTGTGTGTGTGTGTGTGTGTGTGTGTGTGTGTGTGTGTGTGTGTGTGTGTGTGTGTGTGTGTGTGTGTGTGTGTGTGGGTGTGTGTGTGTGTGTGTGTGTGTGTGTGTGTGTGTGTGTGTGTGTGTGTGTGTGTGTGTGGTGTGTGTGTGTGTGTGTGTGTGTGTGTGTGTGTGTGTGTGTGTGTGTGTGTGTGTGTGTGTGTGTGTGTGTGTGTGTGTGTGTGTGTGTGTGTGTGTGTGTGTGGGTGTGTGTGTGTGTGTGTGTGTGTGTGTGTGTGTGTGTGTGTGTGTGTGTGTGTGTGTGTGTGTGTGTGTGTGTGTGTGTGTGTGTGTGTGTGTGTGTGTGTGTGTGTGTGTGTGTGTGTGTGTGTGTGTGTGTGTGTGTGTGTGTGTGTGTGTGTGTGTGTGTGTGTGTG